TAACCAATCGTTTTGCAGTATTTATGGACCAGTGTTTAATTCTGTCGGATCACAACTATACAGTGTGTTCCATCTCAGACGAGCCACCCCGTATATTTCTTATCCCATAGTAATTGGAAAAATTTCTCGAAACACGTCGGATGATTTTCTTTGGGGGACATCGATCTTTTGACGTATATTTAAGGCTTGAACCAGCAACCCAGACAACACACCAAATCCCAGAGATATCCACAGAATATCTTTTGTGGATATCCAATATCCACAGGATATCAGAAATATTCCGTGGATCTAATATGGATATCCAAATATGTCCGTCTATATCCAGAATATAGAAGATATCATATGGATATCCAGCAAAATATCTAATGAGTATCTTTCAGACAATACAAAAAATCCCAAAAAATTAATTTTAAATATCTGAACGGTACTATATTAGCCACAATGGCGTAATTTTTTTAATAGTTTGCTATATAATTACTATTATTTATGGACATTTGCATGTCTATAAATTACAGCTCATGGATATAAAATAGATATCCACCATGGAACCCCTATGAGGGGGCGCTTCAACCCCTCAAAATGGAATGGGGAAGAAGGGTTGAGTGATACATCATTTGTAAGGTCTTGAAAGCCTCTTTACAACGGTGTATGAAAAAAATCACATTCTTAAAAAAAATTAATTGTTTTATCACGTGAAATGATCGAAGAAACGTGATAAACACCTTCTAAGAACAAAAAATGAAGATAAGAAAATGTTTTTATTTTTTTTTTATTTATTAGTTCGAGAGAATTTATTATTGCATGGAAATCAATGGAACACAAATTGAACATTTCATTTAAAAACGCAGTTTTGATTTTTTTGATTGTAAGCATTAGAGGTGTGTCGTTCGCGAACGATTCGTTCAAAAAGAACGAATCAGTGCACTGACTCGAATGAATTGATTCCCTGTTTTTAAAAGATTCGAATCTTTTTTGAGTCAATTGCTCGATGGCTCTGTGATCGATCAAACATGCCGAGTTCCGAGTTTGGTTGCTTCGTTCATTCGATTCGGATTCGAAGATTTGGTATTTTACATCGGCATCGGCAAATTGGTCGCTTTTATTCTACGTTCTACCACAGAATAACCACTATTAGTTCTATGGCATAATACGAGAACTCTGACAGGCGGTGGCGGTATACGTGTCTTTTTATCCAACTGTTGCAGCAACGTTAGCATCGGTGCGGTATGTCAACTGTTATTTATTTCAACGGTCAACCATAAATCCAACACAAAACGTTCAAGGCCGCATCGGTGAAACAACGGTTGCAACAAACCGGTGGAAAAAAAGACACACGTTATGTGTCTTTAATGTTTTTCTCACTTTACAGGAGGTGTGTATTAAGCTTAGGTAAACAATTTATGCGTGTTGTCTGATAAATAAATTTAAATCAAAGTAAAATTAAAACAAAAAATGACGAATCGTGAATATATAATTTTGCGTTAATTTTGGCTATATTTGGCATTTAAAAAAAAATTGTGTTATTGTTGTTTATCTTAACGGACAAGGATGTATTTATTATTCAGCTGCCTTTTTTTTATGAAATATGAAACATTAATTCGCTTTACTTTAAAATAAATCTGGTTATAATTATTTTACTCGACGACCTAGTAGGTAGGTAGGTAGATATTAGGTAGTACTCAAATTCGTAAAAGTTCGGTTCGATTTCCTTCGCCGGATCGACGGAATAACATCGTTCGTGGTTCGCTAAAGTGAATCACTTGAGAACGGAATCTTGAAGAACGAATCTTTTTAGGTGAATGAATCAAATGAATTAATTCAGTAAAAAGATTCGAACTTCCCACCTCTAGTAAGCATGATAAAACAATTGATTTTTTTTAAGAATGTGATTTTTTTCATACACCGTTGTAAAGAGGCTTCCAGGACCTTATAAAAGTATCACCCAACCCCTCTTCCCTATTTAATTTTGAGGGGTTGAAGCGCCCCCTTATAGGGGGTTGCTCGTTCAAGCCTCAAATATACGTTAAAAGATGTCCCCCAAAGAAAATCATCAGACGTGTTTCGGGAAATTTTTCCAATTACTATGGGATAAGAACTATACGAGGTGGCTCGTCTGAGATGGAACACCCTGTATATAGTGAGAATAGGTAATTGCTTGGTAGCTATTACCACCGGTGTGAAGTTAGCAGTAAGTTTTTAGCAGTAACAAGTATAATAGAAATTAAAAATTTAAAAAAACCGACTTCAAAAACGTTCCAAATTTATATGGGACCACCCCGAGGTACCCCCTTACTAACAAAAAAAATCATATAAATCGGACAAGGTGGTAAAAGCATTATCGCTAAACATACATAAAAAAATGAAGAGTGAGGATTTTCTCATGGACCCAATTATTAGATTTTGACCAAATATATATGGGACCACCCCTGAAGTACCCCCTTTCTAACAAAAAAATAATCATTGAAATCGGACACCGTGTTAAAGAATTATCGCTGAACATACATAAAAAAAATATCCCAACGAATTGAGAACCTCCTCCTTTTTTGAAGTCGGTTAAAAATAACCGAAAACACCCAATCGGGAAAATAGTGGCGTCCGGCATGCAACTATTTTAATAATCTTGCCAATATGTATTTTACATTAATATCGGACAAATAATTAATATACATACCGTTGAAAATGTCCGATTTTAAGATATCTAAATTTCTCAAAAATATATTGGATGGAAGATGGCCATAATTCGTGAAATGCAATACTGGTGCCATCTATCAACACATAGTCACACTATCGAGTTGCACATATTACTTGTAGAGGCCGAAACTTGATTTTAAATTAACGCACTTTTCTCTCACCTCATGGAGAAACGATTATTACTCACGTTTAGGCCTTGCAACGAAATCGAGACAGGCGTAACAAAAAAGCTACAAAAAAGTTACAAAAAATGAGCCGGGTCCGGGCTGGTGCCGCTACAAATATCCGCTAAGCTAGCGGATCCGCGCTTTTCTCAGGTTCAGTACAAGCTACAAAAGGGAGACTAGCGTAACAAAAAAGCTACAAAAAAGTTACGAAAAACCAGCTGGGTCTGAATCTGTGCCGCTACTATGGAATTTATGGAAATTCAAGCTAGCGGATCCGCTGTTTTTTCGGACCTGGGCAAAGCTACAAATTCGCAAATAGCGTAACAAAAAAGCTACAAAAAAGCTACAAAAAACCCACCAGATCTTGTATGGTGCCGCCACAGAGTGCCCGCTAGCTTGATATAGCTTTTATTTTCGCTTTTATGCTTCTTCAAAAGCGCTGCAGCGGTTGACAGTTCATCGTCACCGCTTACTCAGCGTTACAACATGTTTGACGACGATGAACACGGCCAATATTACAGAATACCAGGGGGGCTATTTTCAAAGTCGAGAGAATTCATTTCTCTCGAGAGAAATGTCATACGTCAACGTAAAACAGTATTTTTAGGGTCCTAAGGGCCAGTGTGAACTCACTGATTGTTTCTCACGGTTTATTTAGAGATAATTAATATCCTCATAAGAATTTTAATCCTCGAGGCCTTTAAAAACAGCGTTTCCACATTGACGTATGACATTTCTGATGAGAATCTTGAGAGAAATGAGTGCTCCCATACTTTGAAAATAGCCCCCCAGGTGGCGTGATTCTGTAAACACAAACAGAAGCGAAACAATAAATTATTTTTCAGTATTCTCTGTACATACAGAAAAAAATCCTACAGAGTTGGAATTATATGTTTTAGTTCAAGTGTGAACCCACCTATTGTTAATTTTTATAAAATAGGTATGTTGACTTATTGAAAATGTTTTAATAATCGGGCATTGAAATTTGTTTTTGATGCTACAATATCTTTGTATATTTAGTAAGTATTTAATGAAAATAAATATTGTTTTCTTCAAAAATTAAAACCTCCCGCTTTTCATGTCTGAAAATCTGGCAGCACTATATATCCTGTGGATATATTGGATATCCACAAAAGATATTCTGTGGATATCTTTGGGATGTGGTGTGTTGTCTGGGAAATATAAACATAAACATAAGTTTCCTAATATCTATAATATAAAAATGAATCGCAAAATGTGTTGGTAAGCGGATAACTCAACAACGCCTGGACCGATTTCGCTAATTCTTTTTTGTTGTGTTTGTTATTGTCAGGAGAAGGTTATTATGAAAGAAAAAATTAAGAAAATGGCGCGGAAAATTAGAAAATTTCTATATATATATATCAAAATGAATCCCTACATTTCCCTTGGTCACGGCATCACGCGTGAACGGCTGGACCGATTTCGCTAATTCTTTTTTTGTTGTGTTTGCATTAGAATAATAAACACTTTGTTCCTAAAATATTTTTTTAGTTAATTATTATACCAATTCGAAATCAATATTCATAGTTAAAACAGGGCAAGGTCTGTCGGGTCGGCTAGTCTAAAATAAAATTATGAAAATGCCGAACATAATATAGTGGTTAGGGCTCGTATTAGTGTTGAATTAAAATGCAAGTTCACTTTCAAGTCAATTTTTTATAATTATTTTACAAATAATTTTGATTGATTCATAAAGATTTATACAATTAAAGAATGTAATCTTGAAAATATTCTCACAGTTTATCTTGTTTTTAAATGAAATTAATTTACAAATAAAAATATGTTGATTCATTTTGCTTGTACCTATCCTAATTTTTTTTAACTCTACAATACCTAACATAATTATTTATCTTGTTACTAACTGAATAATTGAAACTCTTGGCAACACCTTTTACAAAACAGTATGAAAACGATAAAATAATATTAGGTTAGGTTAGGTTAGAAACATCAAAATCTTTCAACTTTCAATTTAATCGTTTGTTTCTTTGAAAACCGTCAATTATGTATTCGCATTTTTTTTTAACATACTATATAAAATCTGTATTCCTTTGAGTGTTCCAAATTTCAACTTAGGTACTACCTAAAGCATATGGAGCTTCCAAATTTATTTTTTAGACTTACCTTAGATCTTTGTAAAAACTTGATAAACCATGAATAATAGAGGTATACAATAATGCTAAAATAATTCACTCTTGATTGTTTTAAGCTTGTTGCTCAAGCTAGGTTTGCTAGTTAGACAACTTCATGGATAAAAATAAAATGCTTGCTTTGCTAATAAAAACGTAAACAAAAATAATAGACCGGGAGATAGCGACAGAAATTTCCGGGTCATTGTCGAAAGTTTAATTTTTTTATATGAGTTATGAAAGTAATATGTAACTCTAATATGAACGTCTTCCGACGTACCCTTACGACAGGGGTTGCAGGAGGGTTGCAATTACAGTAAAAAAAACAAATTTTAAAATATCATTTTCGCATGCATGAAACTTGTACACGTTAATTTAAACAAATAAAGTATAGAAAATATCGTCTTCCATCTGAATTTCATGACAAAGTACGTCTTTCACCCACCTAAAGCAAAAAAAAATTATTCGCAAAGGTGAAATTAAGTGTGATGCTTATTTTTGAAATAAGAAAGCTAAAAATAATAGTCTTCCATCGATACAATACCATAAAGGTCGTCTTCCAAGCACAGAACATACTGTTGTCATGGGCGTCGTTACACAATTCTATAGGGGGGGGGGGGGGCAAAATTTTTAAAAATATTTAGAATGTTTATTTGTTGGAAAACAAAGGAAATGAAAAATAAAAGAGAATTTTCTTATGATGGATTTAATTTTTCTGTGACTTCATGGCTTACTTACAGCTTTTCCAGAAATAACAGAAAATCGCAATTTATTTTTTATTTTTAAATGCAAACCCTTTTTTTATTGAAAATTTGAATTTCTGGGACATTTTTGGGGCGTTTATTGAAAATTTTCTGTAACATATTTTCCAATATGACAGAAAATTTTCAACACATTATTCTTTTCCATAAATGTTCCCGAAATTCAAATTTTCAATAAAAAAAAGGGGTTTCTATTTAAAAATAAATTGAGAATTTCTGTTATTTCCGAAAAACGAGAAGTAAGCCATGATGTCACACACCAATTGAATCCAGTATATGACAGTATTTGCACAGCTTATACAATACAGCTAAAACACTCTCTTGGCGACAACGGTTTGCGTCGATTTCGTCGCGCATCGCTTAAGCTCCGCCTTCGAAGGGAAAAGACGGTTTTGGCGTTCAGAAGCGTACTTAGGTAAGGTGTTGAGTCGTGCGTATAATTTCGTTGATTGCATAATTTCGTGGAGCCTATAATTTCGTTGATTTTGTTTAAGTCAAAGGTACTGTTATTATTTTGGTGACTCTTTAGCTGTGAGTAGAATGAGTGAAAAAAAAAAGACATAATTCTGTTTGTGCAGTCAAAAGCTGTTTTAATAAGGGTTATACCTGCAAGAAAACATTCTTTAGTTTTCCCAAGGACCCAAACCGATAAGTACCACATTATAAGAAATTTTCATTGTTAAAAATATAATTTATACAGGGTATCCCATTAGTGCGTTATTGTTCATTATTTTGTTGTAGACACGCAAGAAAGTTTTAAATAAAAGTTATATGGATTTGAAAAATATCTACATATTTTAAAAATATCTTTGGATATACAGGGTGTCACGTTTTTGCCTGGCAAATTAAAATGTACGTTTTCTAAATGGAACACCTTGTATTTTATTTTATGATAAAATTATTAACACCCTAAATTATTGTAAAGACGAATTGATACAAAAAAATTTTATCAGGTATGTGTGTGGTTACCTTTTAATAAAAGCCTTGCGGATCCACTCCTCTGCGATACCTGTCTTAAATATAACAAAGATCACGTCGAATTAGATGATTTTTCTTTTTATTGCTTTTTAAAGGCATATGATAACGCCAATCCAGATACATTTGGAAATCTGTAACTGTCAAATGATGAATTTGTAGAACTAATATTCAATATTGAAAAGATATTTCAAAATAATTTTGAAGAATTGGCTACAAAAAATAACATTTGTACCACACTTTTAGAATTAATTAACCCAATACCCTTTAGTCATCCATGCTAACGTTTTCCAAAAGAATAACTTATTTTATTGTATGTTTAATCTCAATAACTAAAAAATATACTGACAATTAGTTTGACAGAATTGCCATTTATTTAAAATTTTAAAAATAATAGCAGTCGGTTGATTAAAATATGAACGGTGATTGGCGAATTTATTTTTTTTGCAGTGTTCTCACTACCTAGAATGGATATGAAATATATTCGTTCAATTGAAGGCAATAACAAACTTTTTCGTTTTGTAATCTGTACATGGATATTAGCCAATCTACGCACATACTACAAAACGAAAAAGTATGTTATTGCGTTCAACTACGAATATATTTCATATCCATTTTAGGTAGTGAGAACGCTTTAACAAAATTAAATCTACAAATCACAGTTCATATTTTGGTCACCCAACTCCTATTATTTAAATTTTTTTAAATAAGTGACAATTCTGTTAAACTAATTGTCAATATATATTTTAGTTATTGATATTAAATATACATTAAAATTTTTGTGTAGACTCGATAAATAATAGCATTTTTGTTTTTATTGTGTCCACATTTAAAAAAAAATAAATTTTAATCAAACTACATGATACTAATTTAATTACGAGTATTAAAACTAAAGTCCTGAAAGTTTCGGTGAAGATGAAGACAGAGCATCTGCCTTCCACGCGAAAAGCCCGGGATCGAATCTAGGCCGACGACTAATTAATTTTTCATGTTTATTTTATTTTATAAATTAGTCAACTTCGTAAATTATTTTAAAATTAGTTATTTTGTCTAAATAACCTAAAATAATTTTTTAAATTTGTAGATTTTCGTTAGTGGGTCGTAGAAAAAATATACTGACCATATCGAGTGGATTGTTCATATCACAATCAGACGATTGAGTACTCTGCCTACGACGTCGTGCTCAAACTTCGTCTTTGTGTGATATTGCTATCATATCCACCCTTGTTGAACAAACTATAATTTATTTGTTTTCTTGGTTTAAACCAAAACTTAAGTTTTACATCAGAAATAGGAACTAAATTAATTTACTTTTCAAGTTTTCTTGTAAAAATCGATATTACTTTCTCCAAGTACAAATTTAGTACCTACCTAAAATAAGTACTAATTATGTAATATCGTGTAATATTGTAATTCAAATTTCACATTACTATAAAGTTTCAAAATTCCCTACTTCGGTATGGTCAGATAAAAATTGAATATATTATATTAATAAAAACTGTCAAAGTATTACTTCTACAAATCTGTATTTCAATTAATAAGAATACATCTAAATATAACCAATATTGTTAAAATAAAAGCACAAATTCTTTATAATTCCAAAATACCATAGAGTTCCCAGACCTCAGTCGAAGCATTCGTTTATCTAGGCATAAACCCTTTGCGCGAAGAGTAACACTTGCCAGAGACACGGGGTACCACTTGATTTGCATCCACGAGCGTGACACAATTCTTTAACAATTGAAGCCCTTGGTGTAAAAAGGATCCAAACCACAATTTGTCGTGAAGTGACTGTTTTAACTCAAAACATTTGTTAACCAGGATTTTACTAGCCACATACAAATTATTTTACCTCTAATCCGAAAGATGTGCTATTTTTCGTAATATTTATATTTAAATAATGTTTCTAATTATATTTGACAGATTTAAAACAAATTAAAAATTTAATTTCCCAAAACTTACTTAATATGGCATGTAACCAACCTTATTACGCCAAGGTTTTCAATTTTTCAATAATAAAAAAATTGTTTAATCCGGGCCCGACTTTTCCCTCGAATCTAACAGAGATAGCACCATTCCGTCTTGCTTGGTTCTCGACCGCCAGATCAAAGACGCCGACACGGAGTTGTGGAGCTGTATTGTATAAGTTGTGGTATTTGTTCCAAGCTTTTAAACAAAAAAGTTTTCATTCCAATATCTCAATTAACAACTAAGATAAAAGCGGATGAAATTATTAAACGATTTGCTAATAATAAAAATGCTTAGATACGCCATTGGTATACGGTATAAGATTTTATAAAGATCGTACATTCCTATATTTTTTTTCATAAACGAATTAATAGTGACATGTTTAGAAAAAATATTATTCAATATGGCGGCCAGTTTGACAGCTGACAGAAAATGTTTAATACACGATAATTATACAAAAATGTTTAAATTTACAATAAAAGAGGGTTTCCATTTAACAATAAAAAAAAATTCGATTTTCTTTATTTCCGGAAAAACCGGAAGTAAGCCAGGACGTCACAGAATAATTGAATCCATCATAAGAAAGTGTTTATTCCAGTCTGTCAAACAGAACAAAATTATTCAGATATCTCACTGAATAGAGAAGATAAGGGGAGTGGAACTTTAGTAGTAACCCTAACAATGTCACTGACCCATTTGACAGAACTGATGCTTAAGTTGTCATAACAAGTCTCTAATAAATAAAATAACCAAACAAAAAAGACAAAAACTAAAATTAAAAAAAAAACAAGAAACTTAAAGCACATTTTTAAAAAAACAAACAGAAGGTGTGATATAAAAAAAAATATGAACATAATAATATAAAAAATAAAAATTTATAAAAAACAAAAACATAAAAAAACTAACTCAAATATGTCAATGAACACAAAAAACACTAGGAAAATGCAAATTTCAAATTTCTTTTTTCTCTACTAAAAATATCGATAACGAAAACAAAATTTATTTTTCAGTCAGCCTATTTTCATTCATTATTCACTCCGTGCGTGACAGCAACGCCAACTATTTTATATATTTGCGTATACTGACAATACAATTTTTAATAGAGTTCATAATTAAGAAATATATATGTTAATTTTAAAACAAGTGAAAAAATTATTATTATTATTATTATTATATATTTTTATTACTTCAGCTAAAAAAATCAATAAAAATCAATAATAAAACATAGGAGAAAATGTATGAGATCTTGCCTAAGCCTAATAAGTTGTCATTGAAGAATAGGTTAAATTATGTCAAAATCAAAATATTACCATTATATTATAATAATGTAGAATTAAAATAATTGGTATATTTGCGATTGTAATTTATATTTTCTTCATTTTTAATTTGAAAGAACCCATAGAAATTAATGAATAAAACTGGTTTCCTATCAATAAGTCACAAGATTGCATGTCAACCATATA